GATGGCTAAGCTTCGTCTCTCATGTTTGGGACATATTGTCAAGAGGGACCAGTCACTGGAGAAGGATATCATGTTTGGTAAGGTGGAGGGTCAGAGAAAAAGAGGAAAACCCCCAGCGAGATGGATTGGCTAAGTGGCAGCATCATTGGGCTAAGTGTGGCAAGAATTGTGAGGCGGTGTTTTGTTCTCTTGTGCATAGGGTCGCTGAGTCGGTGCCAACTCGATGGCACCTAACAACTAGGTGCAGTAGCTGTTTCTCTCTCTGCCTGGCAGGGACTTTAAGATTACATCGGTAGTGAAGGCATGTACTGTGACCATTTCAGACCGTCTCTAACGAGAGCTCTTATTCCCTGAAACATGCTCGATCTAGGTCTGTCCGTTACCTTTGATGGAAAAAGAGAAGATTACTTTCCCGAGCTAATGAAATGGGCCTCTGAAAACGGAGCATCTGTGGAGGGTTTTGAGATGGTCAGTTTCAAAGAAGAAGGCTTTGGTTTGCGAGCCACGAGAGATATAAAGGTGAGTTGTATAGGACATTGGTGTGCGTGGTCTGTGTGTGTCCTAGGTGTGTGGTGGTCTGGAGCTCCCAGGCAGGAGACAGAGCCTCATGGACAGCTCACTGGGGTCAGGCTGACCCCCAATCTGGGCTCCTCTTTTCGAGTCTCTGCCTCTCAGGGTTTGAGATTGGAAACTGAGCAGGATGTGGATGTCACGTGGTTTGAGGGGAGAGCACACTTCACTTTGTCATGGGGCACCGGAGGTGGGTGTGTCAGGGATGCCCCCAACTTCCAGGAATGGATGACTGGGTGGTTGGAGGTGCCATTTCCTGGAATGGCAGCACCAGCTGAGATAGGGGAGGAGGAAGAGAAACCGCGTCTGTGGGGCTTCCTTCAGATGCAGGGGGCCCCGCCCCCTGAGCTCCCTGCCCCCCCACTCCCCCCAGCCCCTCCTGGGTGGAGGGCTTACTCAGTCTGACTACTGAGTCTGGGAGAAGATACTGGGCTCGTGTGGTCCTTGTTTTAGGGAGCTGGCTGTTCACAGGTACCCCTCTGCTGTCTTCCCCAGAGCAGTTGGCCTATGGGTGACTGGGTGGTGAAGTCTGTGGGCTTTCGTAGGTGACACACTGGGTGATCACAAGCTGCAGTCTGGTGTCAGTCTCGGTTCTGGATTTGGGTGGAGGAGGTGGGTGTGGTGTGTTTGGGTCGCCTCTAAACTCGGTGGGTTTTGGTCAAGTCATAAGTATCCTCTCATTGATACGTTAATAAACACACACTGACCCATTAAGATACCAGTTAAATAATCAAGTATGCTCGTTAAGACGCCCTGGAGACACTCTGTGTAAGCTCTGGACTGTTTACCCCAGGGTCAGCTGTTCAAATCCACCAGCTACTCCACAGATGAGCGAGGAGGCTTTTTGCTTCCTTAAAGATGTCCAGCCTTGGAAAGGCGACACAGGGCTGCTCGGAGTTGGGACTGACCTGATGTAAGATGCTTGTTTTTACGTGGACTGTAGTGGTTTTTATGCCAGCCTTCCACAATAGAAAGAGCTCTTCCCCCAAAATGCCTGTCATGACACGTGCAGGTACTGTAGGGAGCTGCTGCTCTGAAGTACTGTCCGGTTGGTTCTGACTCAGAGACCCTGTGCAGGGTTTCCGAGGAGCGACTGGTGGGATTGAACCCCCGCCCCTGAAGTTAGCAGTCCAGTGGCGACCCCACAGCGCCACACTGGGCCTCCCGCAATTCAGAGTAGGCGTTAGGAAAGGCAGGCATCACGTGCTCTGATTGTACCTGATGAGAAGCAGACCCAGAAGGCTCTCCTGTGGATGCTGAGCTGACGGGCTCGGCCGGCTCTGTCCTTGTTGGCTACATGTTTTAGGCTCCATAGGTATGCACGCAGATGAAAGAACAGCCCACGGGAAGCCTCGACTTTTGCCAAAACCCAAATCAGTAAACACTGTGCTTTTTTCTGACCACCACTGTGTTGTGAAGAAAGCAGGGCGTGGAATGAGCGCACCTAGCTCTACAGCTCCGGAACAGCCGTAGTCCCTAGGGATTTAGGCTGCTTGTGGGGCAGAAGTGTTTGTTTGTAGGGCTTACCATTGTAAGAATGGAAGAAGATGCCTTTGTGTTCACTACCCTAAATGATTATATTTGCTTCAAATTTAAGTCTAAAGTCCCTTTTCTAGTTATTTGCCATAGTTCATTTTTTTAAATTGCAAATCCGATTTTAAAATGTGCATGTGCTCATTTAGCTACTTATTTAATGGCTTGCATTTTCAAGTATATTGTAGGTTAGAAATGAAGTACTGATATGCCAGGTAAAATTGTACTTGATGTCTGAGTGGATTTCTGACCATAGACCACAGCTTTTGATGATACGACTGTTTCCTTCTTTTTTTCCCCCCCAGGCAGAAGAATTATTTTTATGGGTTCCACGAAAGTTACTAATGACTGTTGAATCTGCTAAAAGTTCCGTGTTGGGTGAGAATAATTTCTGACCGTTCGTTCGTTCGTTCAAGGCAAAGTACAGGTGGCTTAAAAAAAGAGCTCCACAAAAACATATAATACCAACGTTTCTTTTTGTGGTTGGTGCTGAGGATCGTATTTGGGTGTGATTGTCACCTGGAGCAATATCCCCAATCCCACACTAAGTGAGATTGTCAGTCATTTCACAATCGTAGAAGAGGGCCAAAGGAAAGTGGCACATTATTTTAAATGTTAACCAGGCCTTTTCAGTTATGTCTATAAAGTTAGTAGATGTTGTGAATGCGTGGTTTTTTAAAAAGAAGTTTGTGGCACTAACACTGTTAACTTCTGGGTTAATTCAGGGCCCTTGTATTCTCAAGACCGAATCCTTCAAGCCATGGGAAATATCACGCTGGCCTTTCAGCTGCTCTGTGAGAGAGCCAACCCCGACTCTTTCTGGCAGCCCTACATTCAGAGTCTGCCCAGTGAGTACGACACTCCTCTCTACTTCGAGGAAGATGAAGTCCGGTACCTCCAATGCACGCAAGCCATCCACGATGTCTTCAGCCAGTATAAAAACACAGCGCGCCAGTACGCCTACTTCTACAAGGTGATCCAGGTGAGCTGCTACGTTATGTTTCAGTCCGCGTCCGATGGGGCGGGGTGGGAGAGGAAAGGAGACGGTAACAGTCCCACTCGACGTCTGTCTTAAGGATGCTCAAAGAGTTTTTATTTTTAAATGGAAACACAAGCATGGTCAGTTATTTTTCTGTTTTTATGGTGACACGTGTGAAGTACTATTTGGCGTCTGGGCTTGGACTTGGCCAGGGACCAGTGTAACAGTAAGCAGTAAGAATTTCCGAGTTTAAGGGAATCACGGGGCTTTTCTGAAAACTAAAGATAGAGCCCCAAATTCTAAAGCTGGTAAGATGTGTGTAATGCCAAAACAGTGCTGTGTGGATACATTTCCCAGGCAACTGGAAGGTCTTGTGTGTCAGTGCGCATTGGTAGTAACGTACTGACGTGTGATTGGTTCGAGAACAGCACTGGTTTCCTTGTTGAGACTCTACAGTGCGTTACGCTGATTCTTGTTACTTTTAAGTAAAAGGTGGGGAGCATGAGAGCGTGTGGTGTCTGTGCACGCTGGGAGGGGGCCTGGCTGCCCCGCTCAGCCCCCAGCAGATTTCATTTCCACTTGGACATCAGGAAGCAGGGGTGGGGTCCTTGTCACGGTTCCCTCCAGGGGTCGAGGGGGTGTTTCTCGGCACCCGATTTCTCCCCTCTCTCAGATGTTTAAGAATCCATTTGTGTGGGAATGCCAACCACAGGATGTACATATAGGTAGACCTTGGGGATATCTCAGTCAAGCCAGCCAGGTGCAGGTTTGGGTTTCCCAGGGCATGTCGAAGTGATTGTAGCTTATAAAGTGTGCACCAGCAGGATGGGAATGTTTGTAATTATTGCGCGAATGACCAGCCTGTGACACAGAGGCTGACAGGAACACATACTGTTGGATAATGGCACCAATAGTCTCTATGATGCAGGGGGATCACAGGCCTTCCATCTGTAAAAAAAATGCAGTCATTCATCCAGGTATACCTGTATTCCTTCCCTCGTCTCTGCACAGTTTGACAACCCAACCTGGACACGATTTGGTGGTTTAGTAGACAGTCTGCTTTACCCACTGGAAGTGCTCATTCCCTTGTGTCATAAAGCCTCTGTGTTACCGCACAAGAAAATGACGTTCAGAGTTATAGTTCAGCCCTGAACATGCTTCAGATAAAACCATAATGACACAGCCCTCCCCTAGAGGAGTCTGTTTTGCTGTGGGTTTGGGAAGCTCTGGGCACTGGCTTGTTGGGCTCTTTGGCTGTCTTACTGCACTCGCTGGACTTCTTGCTGGAGTTTGAATTAAGCAGTGCGGTCTTGCTTCACAGTTGGATGAGCTTTTAAATGCCCTCCAGACACCCAAACATCCTCTTGGTATAAATGGAACCATTTGATGTCATCAGTCTGCTGACATGCAGGTCTCTTGTGCCCCTGGAGCAAGCCCTTGCCCCTCCATGTGGCCAACAGTGTCACTGTGGAAACCTCAACAGCCAGATCAACTCTGAATTCAGAGGTTTTCCCAACAGCGGTGCAGTTCGCACGTGACTGAAGGAGAGTGACTTGTCTAGCTTATAATGAATACAACTATCCTTTAAAAACAAACAAACAAACCACATTCTCAAAGCATGACTTAACCTTTTTAAAGCCAATTTCCTTTTTTATTGAACATTTTCATCAGTAAATGTGACATGAACAGATAATCAAATATTGATTCTGTTTGTGCAATTAAAGCAATCTGAGTATTTGAAAGCAGTTTCAGGACTTAAAGAGGAAACCAATCAGGGTCTTTCTCTGACCAGCAGAAGCTTCGAGCTCCGGAGGGAGAAGCAGTGGTTCTCACAGGGGCTGTTTTGCCTCAGAGAGAACTGTGTGTCTGCAGCAGTTTTGTTATAACAGAGTTGGCCAGGCTCCAGGCTGGGGAGGCTGCTGACCAGCCCTCACCTGACTGCCCACCTGGCTGCAGCACTAAGCACTCAGGTCCTCCTTGCCCCCAGAGTCTCAGGAATCCTTGCTGGGGCCTGGCCTGAATGGACGCCCTCTACCTGTCGTCTCGGGAAATTGTCTCATTAGCTGAGTTCAGTGCTGTGATGGTGGCTGTGTGCCGTTGACTGGTTCTGGCTCATAGTGACCCTGTACAGGTTTTTCGAGGCTGTAAATCTTTAGGGGAGCAGAACACCTCATCTTTCTCCTGTGGAACAGCTGGTGGTTTTGAACTACTGACCTTGCAGTTCAAAATCATGGCCTGATTCGTAACCACTACGCTACCAGTGTTCAGTGCTGTAGCTGGGACACATTTTTTTCACCTTTTTTTTTAAACATACATCTTTCAAAACAAAACACCGGCAGGTGTAGGCGCAGGGTTGGTAAGGGTGTAAATACGCACGCTGAGAAAGGAGAGACTTCTATATAGCAGTGCAGGGTTGGGATCCTTGGAGCTGAGTTTTTCAAGTGAAGCGTTTGGAGCGGAATTAAATCCACTGAGTACTGTCAACAATTCCCATCCGACAACTAGTTGAAAGGTTGGAGGTTTGAACTCACCCAGAGGCACCTCAGACAAAAGGCTTGGTGATCTACTTCCGAGAAACTACAGCCCTGAAAGTGACGTGGGGTCACCATGCATCAGAATCAGTGTGATGACAACTAACAACCAGGCAGTGAGGTGTGAGCGTGTCTCCAGGTTCAAGAAGGCGGGAGGGAGAGAGCTGGGTCCCCTGAACTCAGAGCCCAGGCTGCTGGGGTGTATAAGGGACCTGGGGTACATCAATGGGAGGATGTCCAGAGCGTGAGGCCGGGGCACGTGGCAGCAGGAGCCTGGTAGTGAGGCAGAGCCGTCTCCCACCTGCTGCACTGACGTAATGTGGAACTAGTTGCTTTCTCTGTGCGTTTATTTTCTAATACGTCAGATAAAAAGACGAAGCCCACTGTTCACTGGATCGCTCAGTTGAAGTGCCTGGTTTACCTAGCACATGGCCGGTGACATCTCGGGGGTTGAGCTAAGCCTGGTGGTGCTGCGTGGGGACTGAACGGGCTCAGGCTCTCCCGGAGGGGAGGGGTGAGGTACACCCAGGCTTCTTATACAAATGAGGGTGTTCCTGTCACTAGTTTTGTTTTCAATCTTTTAGTTTATGTCTCTCCTTGTCCCTTATGGTAGTGTTTCTTAATCTTTTCTCTTAAAAGGGGACCCGAGGGTAGCGCAGGGCATTCCTGCAAGACTAGGAACATGGCCCAGTGTGACCACCGCTTGCTCACAGTTGCTTTGGAGTCCGGGACTTTGGCTGCATTGTGGTTTGGGGACATGTTTTTAAATCTGAAAATGTTGGGGTGTTCAGGCTTGCTGCAGTCACACAGGTACCTGTCTGCAGCCCTGCTATCCCTCGGCCTCCACCAGGAACTGCAGTGTGACTCCAGTGGAGGGAGCGTGGGCGGCTGGGCAGCGTGCGCCATCGGAGAATTTGCACTGTCTGTTGACACGATACCAGTAAGCAGCAGAAGGAATTGGTGCCCCGGTTTTTAGAAACCCATTTTGTGTGTCATGGAGTCGATTCTGACACATGTCAGAGGAGGAAATCTCCCTTCCCCTCCACCCCCGGGGTTTTCCAAGCTGTCGCCTCTAGGTCTTTCTTCCACTGGGCGTGGGTGGGGTCAGACCCAGACCTTTTGGCTAGCAGCGGAGCCCTTGAAAGTTTCACTGTTTTAGAAAATTTCTAAGCATCTGCCGGAGCAAGAGCCACCGGCTGCCTAGCACGAGCTGGGCACAGGCCACTCACTACTAAGGAGGGAGAGGCATGGCCTGTTTTGGTGTAAGATCTCAAGATAAAAACTGATATAAGGCAAAGTTCTCTTTTTTAAAAAAATTCTGTGTTGAGCCTAGTTTTGTAGTTTTAGGGTGTTCTTGTCACCTCTCGAGTTATCTCTGGGCACAGATCAGTGACTATGTTGCCGTTGGGTGGTGATGCCGCTTCAGCAAAGCCCTATGCTGTCTCACCACCTCAGTGACAAGCACGTCCTTCTGCTCTTGCATGCAGCCCCCTAGTGACCTCCCTCAGGGACACAGTGTGCTGTCAGCTCAGGTCACTGTCCAGCCCCGTAGTGACCACCTGCAGGGTAGTGTTTGGTTTTGACCTCGAGGCTCTTCCAGTGTATCCAGGAACCCTGGTGGTGCACTGGGTAAGTGCTTAGCTTCTAACTGAAGGGTTGGCGGTTCAAGTCCCCCAGAGGCTCTGTGGGAGAAAGATGAGGCAGTCTGCTGCTTTAAGGGTGACCACCCCAGAAACCCTATGGGGCAATTCTCCTCTGTCCTACTGGATGGCTGTGAGTTGGGATCTGCTTGACGGCAATATCATAAACATTGGTATACTGTTTGGGAGTTGACTGAAATCTTTTAACCAGCTGATGCAGCACTGGAGGCACTCGCTCATCTATGCAAGAAATTTAGAAGACTGCTTCCTGGCCAATTACTTGGTAGAGAATCATGTTTGTGCTCATTCCAAAGAGAGGTGACCCAACGGAATGTGGAAATCGTCGGACAATATCATTAATATTGCATGCAAGTAAAAGTTTGATAAACTCAAAAACAGCTGCCGCAGGTTTAGCTGGATTCAGACAAGGATGTGGCTATCGTTGATGATGTCACATGAATCTTGGCTGAGAGCTGAGAATACTAGACTTGGACTTTGCAGAGACTTTTGACTGTGTGGATCATAACAAGCTATGGACAACATTGCAGAGAATGAACATTCCAGAACACTTAATTGTGCTCAGGAACCTGTACATAGACCAAGAGACAGTCATTCGAACAGAACAAGGGAACACTGAATGGATTAAAATTAGGAAAGGTGTGTACCAGGGTCATACTCTTTCACCATATTTATTTGTCTGCATGCTGAACAAATAATCCTATAAACCGGATTTTATGACGAAGAACCATGGCATCAGGATTGGTGGAAGACTCATTAGCAACCTGCAATAAGCAAATTATGCAATCTTTCTTGCTGAGAATGATGAAGATCA